CCCCCACTTTTTTTGGTGAAGGCAATTGCTGGCACACTGATTACACAGTCAGTTTAGAGTCACTGTATATTGCTGCCTTATTCAGAAGGAAGAACAGTCTTCCTATTCCAATTACCTCTCATTTTAAACCTTTGAAACCAGAAGAGATGGGAAATGACCATGCAGAACAATGCCTCCTGCCTCCCTCCCTCTGTTGTAACTACCAGCTAAATAATGCTTAAGCTAAAGCTTAAGCTATAAAGTTCAATATAGGCAACAAAAGCTCCTAGCCATAGTATCTTCTTAAGGGTAGAAAAAAGGGTACATATGCCCGGGAGTTGTCACCAGGCATGATTCTGATGCTGCAAAGCCCATTTTAAGTCAGATCAAGTTTACAGAGGTGTAGCTGATTATTTTGAATAATTAAATGGTGTCAAAACCAGCTGTGATGAATAGCACTGGGGTCTCAAATCATAAATAATTGAGAAACTGGAGTTGCATTTGATCATCCTGATCAAATTCTGTTCTCTAGAGGATAAATGTTTGCCCTGAATACCATCAACATTGTTAAATGCCTCAATATTCTTGCTCAGTCATCCAGCCAACAGTCAATTGAACTAAATCACCTTAACACCACACACATTTGCTATCCTCATGCATACAAAATATTTGACTTTAAACCATGTTCTTTGTAGTTGAATAGGCACCGCTTTTGGTAAAGTATCTAATAGCCACATTAAATACTTGACATGTTTTTTTCCATGAAACACTGGAAAATAAATCAGAGGGCTCCTTTTTCCTACCACATTGGCTTTGAGCCTGCTCAAAACATAAAACATAAACAAATAAAAAGCTAAGAAAGACTCATTAAAAATGAATTGTCAATATAGCTGCCTTTAGGATAGCCTTTGAGGACTCTGGATTTGCATAGAGACAGGGGTCTTCACTTCTCCTGGTCCTTTCCAAAAAAGGTCACCCCCGCCCGAAGGACTCCTGGCGGAAGTCAGAGTGCTTCCTTCCGCGACTACACTTGCTCCTGTAACCCACTGTGCGAAGAGGCGGGCAGGTGAGCATCATCATTGTAGTTTCCATTTTAAAGGAGAAATGAGACAGAGAAAGGAACCGACTCACCACAAAGCTAGAAGACAGCTGAGCTGCCATGAAAACTTGGCCTCCTCGGCACAGCTCTTGCTGCCAGAGATGTGCCTTAGTTAAGCGCCTCAGTGAAGAAAAGGGCAGTCTGTTTAATAGCTCCTCATTGACACCCTGTCACTGTTGAACTGGCACAGAACCCAGAGCTGGCAGGGTGACGCATGCTGCTCTCCACCTTGTTTCCTGCACACCAGTTCTTAAAATCAGAAGGCTGTGTTAACCCATGTCTTCTCTCCAAGGATTAATGATTGCGAAAACCACCACCATCAACCTTTGCATGGGCTTAACAGTTACCCTAGCACTTTCAAAGATGTTAATCATTTACTTTTTCCAACTTTAGGATATAGGTGGCATTAGCACCATCTTAGAAAAATGAGGAAACGGGATTCAGAGATGAAGTGACTGGTCCAAGGATAACGAAGCTCACGAGCACGGAGCCAGTACCCACTTAGCCAGGCTTCAAGTTTGCTGCCTCCTCTATACAGTGTACAGCCCAGAGACGGGGAATTCAGGGTCCTGTCCTTCCCGAGGTGACGGTTGTCCCAGTTAGAATGAAGATGACGAGAGACCTCGGATTTGCTCTTTTCTATCACTGAGTCTTCTGCAGAGGTACCTGGGCAAACACTAGCAACTTTACTGCGACAAGAATGCCTGATAAAATTATACATGTAAAGAAAGAAAAAGGAACACCAGTCTCTGCTTCCTCCCATACTGTCATCTTTGTAATAAAAATCAGTTTTTTTCCAAAACCCCTGTAAGAGCGAGGCATCTAAAAATTAATTTAGTTTTGATACGTACCTCAAAATCCTCCGAAAAACCATGCTGGTTATTAGAATAGAGCTCACCGATGTGTTTAACAAACTGTTTGACAGGAATGGCTTCCATGTCATCTGTGGGCGTAAAATGACATTCAGAGTCACATAAAATTCTTCCGTGAGACAAATAACACCGATAAAAGATTACTGGAAACAAATACATGACTTTTGCAAAGAGTGATGTAATTTTATCATCTGAAATAGATGTTCTCAAGGGAGGCCTCAGGTTCACTGTGTATTAGGCTCTCATAGTTTTAAATGCCTCTCAACTAGATTGAATATGGTTTATTTAAACAAGATATACCTTTTTTTTTTTGGTTTTGTTTTAAAGCAATGCACACAGTTAAATTCCCACATATACTTAACTAAGTCTGAACTTACTAAGGCTAGACATTTTTATAGTAACTGAAGTTTTTTTTTTTTTTTTTTTTTTTGGCCACTCATTTGGGGTCTAGCTTGAACTTGCAGCAATAAAGTTCTATTTCCAAACTTTGAAGTCTACGTGATCTTTATACACAATTACACATAGATGCCATTGTACTAGCTGACTTTGGATACAACGCCTTCTATGTTTAAGTGTTCGAGATTTTAGTTCAAGACAGCTGTGTCTATACGATGCCAATTAATCAGACTGAATTAACTGGAGATTTTGGTGTTGACAAACTAGGTGTAGAGTCATGAAGACCATACATTACCATTTATTGTAGTATTGTTACTTCAAAATACATTTTTGGTTCACAGGTCCAGAGTATGTTAAAAGCTGATTAATCTAGCCTCAATTGATAGAATGCTGTAAAAGTGCCACATCCCACTCCCTAGAGCTCCAAATCGCCTTCCTCTCTTCTTCCCTCGACCCTCCCCCGCAAATATTTCCTTTTAAAAATACTCTGCTGAATTTGAGATAAACAACAGACATGACATTTACTTTATTCAGAGTGAAAGATCTTTGGCAAACGCACAAACATCTAAACTGCCACAGATGCTTTTCTTAGCAAAGGGTATGAAGATCTGTATGTGTAAATGAGGTCCTACTTTGGCAAGAATGTTATAGATCCAGGCCTGACAATCTGATTTCTCTTCATCTGGTGACAGTTAACATTGACTATGTCATTCCTTCTCTACTTTCTTTCGAGAGAGCAAAGCTCTAGGGTGGCTTTTTGCATCTATTGACATTTTCAAACTTGAATCATTCTTAAGTGGAAAATAGCATCTCATACTTTGTTTAAGGAAGGTGACTTACATGTTCATAATCCAAATTGCTTAGCATGGAAATGTTACTTATCAAATAGGTGGTGTTCTGTAAGCACAAATTCTTTCTGTGTGAACAATTAAAGACCTAATCATTTTAATAGGCCACCTTATGAAAAAAAATTGCCAAGTTATTTACAAATATTTCAGGATTGAAGATGTTCATGAATATGCAATCATTTTGCACGCCCAAGAAATCTATAGCGCCCATAATGATGTAACCAGCGTTAACAAAGTAAGCGGAGCCAAAATGTTTCCCCCGAATATTTAGCAGAATGCACGGTTCAAAAAAAAAAAATCTCTAAAATTATCTAATTACTTCAAGTGATTAGAAGTAAGCAAGTAAGCATAGTATGATTTTAAGTAAGCATAGTATGATTTTATAATAATGAACATGGTGAGAAAGTACACTGAAATTTAGAAAAGGGTTAGTGTGTTCAAAAACTGGAGCATCTCTAAAAGATTAACCGAGGATAAACTCATTTTTGGACAAGGGGCAAAAATAAGTAAGATGGGCCACAGCCCAGTGTCACAAACACTCCAGTATTCAGACGGCAGCAGTTTTCTCCTATTTATTTAGAAATGAAAAACATAAGAGTATTTCCAGGGATAGGGTGACATTGTAAATAGTGTAATAGGCCGTGGACATTTACTCCATAATGTTAGTGTAGAATTTCAGATTCCTAATAAATAATAAACTTATGGTGCCATGATTAAGCAAATGGACTATTTCAAAATTAAGAAAAGACACTATTATCTTTAGAGCTATCTACTCAGCAAGGTAAAACCACAGTGCTTTAAAGGTCATGACTCTTCTGGAGTCATTAAAACCTGTGCTTTCAGGTCACCAATTTATTATTGTTTTTTTTTCCCTGCCAACTGGTCAGCATAATGCCATACAAGCCTGTAAATCAAATCTGCTCAATACTTCCCTGGCCTGATGCAGTGAAAATCCACCAGAGCTCAGTGTGATGGTCATGGAACATGACTCATGAGTACCTCCAATTTTCTTTTTTATCTAAGGAAGTTTAACCACACCCTACTGCAGCTCCGGGCACCAGTAACATCAGAAAACCACCAGGCAGACAGGCAGGCACATGTGCACCCCATATTGACCACCATCCGCTCCCCAGATAGCACATTATTTGTCTTTTAATCAAGATAAATGAAGTTGAGTCATAAGTCTTTTTCTAAATATTAAGATGAATATAAGGTTATGACTAATTTGAAGTCCTGATGGTTTTCTCTTATACAGTTTTTCTATTACATTTCTCTCAACATATGCCAGATAATTATAAAATTACAGTAGCAGGCCAACCAATTAGGACAGCATCGAAGATCTGATCTGCTGGGTTTTTCTCTGGAGAGACTCTCTGGGTTCTAAGATACCCATTTATACAATGTTATTTTACCTGAACACCTAAGTTTGATGAAAAGTGGCACTAACTGTGGACCAGGCATTTTCTGTGTTCTCACATGTATTAACATTTTCTCAATCCTGCTCAAACTCCACAAGATGGGTCGTACTTTCACACTCATCTCACAGTTGAGAAATTTAGCTCAAAGACACACTGAAGGTTGGGGAAAGGCAGTGGCAGCTGGCCTCAGACTCAAGGTATCTGATCTGGAGAACAGCTCTCATCTGGGCCAGTGAATGGGAACCCATGGGATGAAGCATTTACTGACACCTAGGACTCAGCCAGCTAGTAGGGACATTGTTTCTATAGCGCCCATAATGCCCAAGAGTAGCACTCTTGTTGGAGAAGTGATGAACATGAGGGAATGAGAGGAAGATCAGTATGTTACTATGTGGTGAAGACCTCCAGTGCCACAAAAGGAATGGATTTGAGGATTTAGGTGAGAATAGAAGCTAACTGATGGGTGGCAATGGCGGAAAAGCATCAATAAAGATGATCTGGAATCAAAAGTAAAGATGTCCCTGCTAACTGCAGGATAGACAGGAGACTCTGGTGTAATGAGAAAGAGTTTATAATGGTATGAGAAGAGAGCCACCATTTATTAAGCCTCAACTGTTTATCAAGGACTGTGCTAATTGCTCTTCCTTCATTTATCTTTATAAGAACGAGTTTTTCCTCATCTTATGCATAAGAAACTTGAAGCATGTTGTGCAAAGTAACACAATTATTAAGTGACAGGGTTGAGATCTGGAAACTGGTGTACTAAGCCCAGCCCATATTCCTAAACTCTGTGACATGCTGTCTTTGTTCTCAAAGTACCACAATTTCAAGGAACTAAACAGTATTGGGACTAATCTGATAAAACATTTCTTTTTAATTCTGAGCAATGTCTTGTCTTCATTTATAAAATTTTCAGACACCAAGATTTAAATGAGGCTGCTGTTATCACTAAATGACCCCATCAGAAAGTATTTGATATAGTCAGCAGAGAATCAGCACCTGAGAAGTATATTTATTGTTATTAAGGAATGTTAACAGTCTGTTCCAAGATTTTAGCCTTTGGTAGCTGGAACTAAGTGATACATAAGAGGACTTTTATCTCAATCCATCCACAACACAGTGCCTATATGTACTATTTCTGATGAAGCTTGAAATTAACAGAACAGCATTCAAAGAAGGTGAATCTTTACCAAGAACAAAGTGCCAAAAGTACCAAACCTAAAAGATTCTGTGGAAAAAAGGTCAATTATTTTGACCTCATATGCAAGAGTTAGAAATTAAAAAATATATATGAATTTAAAGAAAGGCTATTTCCAAAATCTGCTGCTGTCTCTGTTCTATCTTCTGATTCACTTGGGGGAAATCATCCAAACTTTGGTTTGTGCTTCTTAGCTACTTTCATTTACTAAATCTGTTTTATTTTGATTTTGAGGAATGACTGATTAAAAAAAGGGGGAAAATTTTGCTTTCTTATCTGCTCTGAGAAAGGGAATCGCTAATTTGAACATCTACCATGGGGAGGTTCCGCAGGCGTCCCAGCCCAGGACATAGCTCAGAGGTAGGAGGGTTTTCATTCAGCCTTAACTTGGCAAAGCTGTTCAGCTGTTAACTCTCAGCAGACACCACTGGCGTTAAGATTCCTGAGTAGGGGGTAACCAGCGGCAGTGGAGGGGGTGGAAAAGCCAGAGCCAGACTTTACTTCTGATTTCCTTCTCTTGTTGGTAAAATGAAAAAAATAATCACCTAACTCATAGTGCTGTGAAAAGTCACAAGATAACGTAAGCAGGTACAGGCGCTTGCCATTTAGTAGTTGCTTAGTAACTGATTGACTATAACATAGTGGTTGTTTTACACACATGACCCTTTGATCTCAGGGCCATGATTACCAACATTGTGTAGATGGGGAGGCTGGCTAAGACAGGCCAAGGGGCCTGGTTAATAGGTTCATGGTCATTATCAAGTAGGAGGGCCAGTCTGACACCAAAGCTGGGTTCTTCCACCTTACGCCTTTCCCCAAGACCCAAAAATGATGATACAGAACTACAGAGGGGAGATAACTACATAATCCCTTTTGAAGAGACAATACAACAAAGAAAGGCTGGGAAAATATGCTTGGCTCTAAGGGGAAACGTCATGTACCTGGTAGACTAGTCACCTTAAGATGCCTGTAAAGTGTTTTGGAATGTATTTACCTTCCTGCTAAGGTGCTTAGCTGCTGAGAATGACTGACTTGGGTCTTTTAAGAAAATATCCCTGCTTGCTTAATCTGGCAGTGTGTGGATTCATATACAAATGGTATAAAGATTTTAGAGAGCCTTTAAAGTCATTTATTCTGAGGCCAGGCTTTAGTGAAGCTCACTAAACCTACAGCACTTCTCTGAATTCTATTCCAAATTCCAACCAATTCTG